CGGTGAGGCATAAGACTAGGCCTAGGCCTAACTAAGACAGTGGAATTATATGTGATAGAAAGTACACTTTCGGAAGAAATAAATTAAAATAAGAAAAAAAATAACTAAGAATAATTCATTTGCAGAGGTACCTTATTTAAGTATTATACAATGCTAACAATGCGGTTCTTGTAGCTCTGGCTTGGGCAAATCATCCATGTGCAAAGCAGTGGTGTTTGTTTATCCATGAAAAAAGCACGCCGGGAAAGTTTGCCTACCAGAAGAAGTGACGTATTTAGCTTATGACGTATGCATGCTAACTAATGTGAGTGTGACGTCACCAAAAATGAATATTTTCTATTATAACCAAAATATTAATAACTACAAAGTTTCTGGGCGTAAATTCCCTTAATATGAATGAAGGGTTGCTCAATCACCTTGCCATACAAATCACAGCTCCCACTGACGTCTCAGTCGAGAAATACGGGTAGCTGAAGTTTTTCTCGCAAACCTGACTACAAAACCATATCCAAATTTCACGTTCCACTTTTGACCCTGAGTTGTGCTTCGCACTCGCCGCTGAGGGCGGCGTTCCGGGAACCCTGCGTCGAGTTTATGCTTATTTTTAATAAATTTGATGTTGCCATGGAGACGGTTAACCACAGACACAGTTAAAGGAATTTGAGATAACTATGGCTCACTTGTGGGCTTGATAATGAAGGAAAAACTTGTGGTTTGGAGGGGAACTTTAAGGATGTAAAATTGCCTAATAAAGAGACAGGTTGGTTTGTTTGAGTAAGTATTGAAGCCCTAACTTACATATCTGAAGCTTGGAAAAGAGAAACAAATGATCTTTGGGGGAGAACTGCATTTACTTGATTTTACTGTAGTTTTAAAATACCATAGGCTTAATATTACTATGTGATCCTGTACAGTTATAGAGAAGCAGAAATAAAGACTTGTTGAGTGTATAAGTTACTTTTTGATTACTGTCTTATTGTGTGGTTCGAGTTTTTATAAGTGTAGAGTGTACATAATACATATTATGATCTATCTGTCATTTTGCAAAGTTACAATCATTCAGTCTATGAGGAATCCGTTATTTAGTGGTATTTTCCCAAAAATACAGGACATCAAAGCACGTAGTAATACGGTGTTTATTGAAGCCTTACATATCTGAAGCTATGGAAAAGGGAAACAAATGATCATTGAGGGACTCGCATTTACTTGATTTTACTGTTGTTTTTAGAATACCATATAGACTATATAAGCTACTTTTTGATTACTGCATTATTGTGTGATTCGTGTGTTTAGTCCTGTTTTTTGCTGCTATGAGGAGATTGTATGCACCTTTTTCAAGATACTGTACATAATACGCCATGGTCACAGTGCAAGTATATGATCTATCTGTCATTTTGAAACGTTACAATCATTTAGTCTATGAGAAATTCGTTATTTAGTGGTATTTATCCCAATGATACAGGACATCAAAGCACGTAGTAATATAGTGTTTATTCTCGATTAAGTGCAATGAACGTTTATTCAAGAAACTGAGTCAATTGTTTTTACCTTTAACAGTTATAGGACTAATACAATTTGAAACCAACATAAGGAAAGCTAAGCCGCTACTTTAACTATTTTAGCACCAGTTTTACCTTATCACATCATGCTCACGCATACAGCCAACCACAGATGGATGTTTAAATTTTTAACTAATACAACACGATAAATGTGGGTAAAAAATAGGCTATGTGAACACGTTTTGATGGTGACTAAACACGCCATAAAGTGAATGTAAACTACGAGGGCGCCAGTACTAACTTGATCAGAAAAATTTCAATAAAGATATGTTTAAATGCAAGATTGTGATGTATAGTGTATTCGTCAAAATGACAATCATCTTTCTATTTACACTCAAAATGGTGCTGCAGAAACTCGTTTTTAATAACAACCTAACATCATAGTCTAATACTACAGCACCAGCAACAGATTACATAGAAAGTAAGGAAAAATTCAAAATCTAATACTTTTTTTATAAGGAGATAAAAAAAACCCACATATTTACAACTATTAGAAGAACTTAAAAATTAAAATTATGAAAATAATAAGTTTTACTGTTTTGTAGACTTCGTAGATAATAATGGTGTTACAATATTACAGCGTATGAAAAAGTAACAATTTAATATTTTATAAATTTTACAAGAGGAAAATTCTCTTTAAAAAAGTCTAGAGAGGCAGAAAATTTATTCTTGCTCTATTTATTACTGAGTTAAAATGGTGGCTCTGTTGCAAAACTAAGAATTTTAGAAAAGTTACATCTAGTGTTTGTGAGATTTGTTAGTCACAGGTTGATAACATATTGATATTTGGGCGCATCAATAAATAAAACAATAAAAAAAAAGTTAAAATATATGCAATAGTTTAAAAACATGTATATTATTGATGTTTGTTAATGTAACTGATTGTGTTATGATTGTTACTATGTATTTATGATAAAGAAAATGGTGATTCACCATAAAAGGCGAAAAAACCAATTTAATATTTAACTTCATTACAGTATAATAAAATATACCGGTATGAAAAAGATGGGATGAAATAGCAATTTGTACATCATTTACATTAGACAAGGCTAAACCAAAGAAAATCTGCCTTTTTTCCCTGTTAGCAGTTTCAGCACCTAACCCCATTCTATTTGAAGTTGGGACCACTCAGATTTTTGCATCAAATCCAAGATGGCCGCCTTCGATTGGTCTTAAAAGGATTAGGACAGAGAGAATAAATCCACTGAAAAAACATTGACAAAACCGAATAATTTACTGTATAGCTCTAATAATTATAATTTTTGGTGGCAATTTTAAATTTTGGCGCCCATATTGGACTTGAGGCCAAATTCTTTGTGGACCTTGATTGATCTTGAAAGGTTTTAGTTAAAATTATTAGGAACAATAGGCTGGTTCAACTATTACATATGTGAATTTCATCCATTTATTTTTGGCACAACCCAAAAGAGACCAGTATCCTGATTTCCCATGCATTTTTCCTGGATCTTTTGCCTACCAGGGTAGGGTGCCGCCAGCGTTTTAGATTGGCCAATGTAAACATTGTAAGATGTCTATTGTATTGGATTTCCTATTTTCATTTACATCTACATAACAATAACAGCTGCATTAATATAAAAAAATTAAAATAATATTATTAATAAAAATATAAAAAGCATTATAATGAATATAACAGTCTAATGATAATAACGATATGATCATGACAATACAAACGACATAATAATGACAACACTAATGATTGATAGACATATTAAATATTCTTTATATATATTTGTATAAATTTAAATATATAAGCTTAAATGTATATAAATCATGAAAAATAGATAAAATGTTAAACACAGTCTTTTTTTAAAATAAAAAATACGAAACGAATACTATATGTATGGACTTTAGAAACATGTTATTATAGAAAACCTATGTTTTGACACTAACAGTCATGCTTTATGATATTTATGGGTTTTTTTCTTTAAGAAATTTGAAAAAAAAAATGAAGCATCAAAATAGGACAGTAAGAAAAATAATTAATATTAATAATAAATAATAATTTAAAGATATCATTCCAGCATTAATGAACTTGGCCTAAGCCTTGTAATATATTATATAGAGTATATTTGAAAGCTTTATTTGCAGAGAACTACACTAATTTCTACTAAACTAATTTCTAGGCCAAGG